CTACGAATCGAGCCCCAGGTCTTAGGGTAAAAAGGCCGCAGCTGTACCTCCAGGCCAAGGTGGAAGCAACCTGGAAGATGTTAAGAAAAAAGAAGGGAAGTGAAAATAATTCAACTGCATAGCCATCAGGTGATTCAACTGATTTTGTTAAACTATTTTCTAACTAGAAAAAAATCTATTTTCCAGTTTGATTACACTTGCGAAGCATAATGTATTGGTGCTAAATTTCTTTTTTTCCGAGCTAAGTCGCAATTAAAAGAGCAACTAATGGTAGCACATTTGAAAGGTAGGCTGCGGTAGCAGGATAATATCATTTGTGCTTTGACTTTTGATTAAAAAGAAAGTTAACATCGCTGATGTATTTTTAAAAACTATAAGCATAAAGCTTTTCGTACTTCCTGTAGTTTTTGACACTTTTTCATGAAATTAAGTCAATTGCAGAAAACTGGGTCAAAAGGTAAACTAAAATTCAGCTGAGAAACCTACAATGTAAAATCCCTTTCCGAACGAGAAAGCCATTCATACTTTTCTCACCACTCAATGTTCTTCTAATGAAGAGAGCGATTTATTTTTGCTTTAGCAAATAAAACTGAACTGAGCAACGAATCAAAAAAGAAGCAACTCAAAAACCGCGAAAAATTAAATTTAAGCATGAAAAACTTTGAAGACTGTTCTAAAAAATCAGCCAAAATTTGACAGGACCTATATCGCTATCATGACTACGTTCATTGACTTTTAAAAACACACTGAAATTATTTAAGAAGAAAAATGCCTTTTTAACACCAGGGCGAAGCGGAGCTGCGCACCACTTGCGATAAAACACAATCATAAAAAAACGTGAAAACCCTAAAAAAATGAAAACGTTTGAAGAATAACTAGGGCATAAACTTTGATGTTTTACTAGAAGTTCGTTCCAAAGCAGACATGCCAGACACTTGAACTTTAAATCAATACCAAGGGAACAAAATTGACAAAAAAAACAGAGCAGACAATCTTTGAGCAGACACAATTCGAGCTGGAAAAAAATGATTTTTAAGAAAAATAGTTTAAAGTACCACCTTACAAAACAGTGGAAAACACTTGCACCTCCAACTACAAGGAAGATTGTTTGCAGTATAAGCAAAATCCATTGTGGCAATTTAGCCGACAAAAATTAAGCGAACAAAAGAAAACCAACAATTCATTTTTCTCTTGAACTTTTTTCAATTTCTTTGATACTGAAAAAAACAAGGTCCGGCTACGAATCGAGCCCCAGGTCTTAGGGTAAAAAGGCCGCAGCTGTACCTCCAGGCCAAGGTGGAAGCAACCTGGAAGATGTTAAGAAAAAAGAAGGGAAGTGAAAATAATTCAACTGCATAGCCATCAGGTGATTCAACTGATTTTGTTAAACTATTTTCTAACTAGAAAAAAATCTATTTTCCAGTTTGATTACACTTGCGAAGCATAATGTATTGGTGCTAAATTTCTTTTTTTCCGAGCTAAGTCGCAATTAAAAGAGCTACTAATGGTAGCACATTTGAAAGGTAGGCTGCGGTAGCAGGATAATATCATTTGTGCTTTGACTTTTGATTAAAAAGAAAGTTAACATCGCTGATGTATTTTTAAAAACTATAAGCATAAAGCTTTTCGTACTTCCTGTAGTTTTTGACACTTTTTCATGAAATTAAGTCAATTGCAGAAAACTGGGTCAAAAGGTAAACTAAAATTCAGCTGAGAAACCTACAATGTAAAATCCCTTTCCGAACGAGAAAGCCATTCATACTTTTCTCACCACTCAATGTTCTTCTAATGAAGAGAGCGATTTATTTTAGCTTTAGCAAATAAAACTGAACTGAGCAACGAATCAAAAAAGAAGCAACTCAAAAACCGCGAAAAATTAAATTTAAGCATGAAAAACTTTGAAGACTGTTCTAAAAAATCAGCCAAAATTTGACAGGACCTATATCGCTATCATGACTACGTTCATTGACTTTTAAAACCACACTGAAATTATTTAAGAAGAAAAATGACTTTTTAAGACCAGGGCGGAGCGGAGCTGCGCACCACTTGCGATAAAACACAATCATAAAAAAACGTGAAAACCCTAAAAAAATGAAAACGTTTGAAAAAAAACTAGGGCATAAACTTTGATGTTTTACTAGAAGTTCGTTCCAAAGCAGACATGCCAGACACTTGAACTTTAAATCAATACCAAGGGAACAAAATTGGCAAAAAAACAGAGCAGACAATCTTTGAGCAGACACAATTCGAGCTGGAAAAAAATGATTTTAAGAAAAATAGTTTAAAGTACCACCTTACAAAACAGTGGAAAACACTTGCACCTCCAACTACAAGGAAGATTGTTTGCAGTATAAGCAAAATCCGTTGTGGCAATTTAGCCGACAAAAATTAAGCGAACAAAAGAAAACCAACAATTCATTTTTCTCTTGAACTTTTTTCAATTTCTTTGATACTGAAAAAAACAAGGTCCGGCTACGAATCGAGCCCCAGGTCTTAGGGTAAAAAGGCCGCAGCTGTACCTCCAGGCCAAGGTGGAAGCAACCTGGAAGATGTTAAGAAAAAAGAAGGGAAGTGAAAATAATTCAACTGCATAGCCATCAGGTGATTCAACTGATTTTGTTAAACTATTTTCTAACTAGAAAAAAATCTATTTTCCAGTTTGATTACACTTGCGAAGCATAATGTATTGGTGCTAAATTTCTTTTTTTCCGAGCTAAGTCGCAATTAAAAGAGCTACTAATGGTAGCACATTTGAAAGGTAGGCTGCGGTAGCAGGATAATATCATTTGTGCTTTGACTTTTGATTAAAAAGAAAGTTAACATCGCTGATGTATTTTTAAAAACTATAAGCATAAAGCTTTTCGTACTTCCTGTAGTTTTTGACACTTTTTCATGAAATTAAGTCAATTGCAGAAAACTGGGTCAAAAGGTAAACTAAAATTCAGCTGAGAAACCTACAATGTAAAATCCCTTTCCGAACGAGAAAGCCATTCATACTTTTCTCACCACTCAATGTTCTTCTAATGAAGAGAGCGATTTATTTTTGCTTTAGCAAATAAAACTGAACTGAGCAACGAATCAAAAAAGAAGCAACTCAAAAACCGCGAAAAATTAAATTTAAGCATGAAAAACTTTGAAGACTGTTCTAAAAAATCAGCCAAAATTTGACAGGACCTATATCGCTATCATGACTACGTTCATTGACTTTTAAAAACACACTGAAAATATTTAAGAAGAAAAATGCCTTTTTAACACCAGGGCGAAGCGGAGCTGCGCACCACTTGCGATAAAACACAATCATAAAAAAACGTGAAAACCCTAAAAAAATGAAAACGTTTGAAAAAAAAACTAGGGCATAAACTTTGATGTTTTACTAGAAGTTCGTTCCAAAGCAGACATGCCAGACACTTGAACTTTAAATCAATACCAAGGGAACAAAATTGACAAAAAAACAGCAGACAATCTTTGAGCAGACACAATTCGAGCTGGAAAAAAATGATTTTAAGAAAAATAGTTTAAAGTACCACCTTACAAAACAGTGGAAAACACTTGCACCTCCAACTACAAGGAAGATTGTTTGCAGTATAAGCAAAATCCATTGTGGCAATTTAGCCGACAAAAATTAAGCGAACAAAAGAAAACCAACAATTCATTTTTCTCTTGAACTTTTTTCAATTTCTTTGATACTGAAAAAAATAAGGTCCGGCTACGAATCGAGCCCCAGACCTTAGGGTAAAATAGCCACAGCTTTACCTCCAGGCCAAGGTGAAAGCAACCTGGAAGATGTTAAGAAAAAAGAAGGGAAGTGAAAATAATTCAACTGCATAGCCAGCAAGTGATTCAACAGATTTTGTTAAACTATTTTCTAACAAGAAAAAAGTCTATTTTCCAGTTTGATTACACTTGCGAAGCATAATGTATTGGTGCGAACTTTCTTTTTTCCAACCTAAGTCGCAAAGCAAATAAAAGAGCTACTTTTGGTAGCACATTTGAATCGGTAGGCTGAGGTAGCAGGATAGTATCATTTGTGCTGACTTTTGATTAAAAAGTTAACACCGCTGATGTGTTTTAATTCAACAGATGCTACTTTTGGTAGAACTTTTGAATAGGTAGGCTGCGGTAGACTTACAAAACCATATGTGCTTTGACATTTGATAAGTAAGTTAACACTGTTGATGCATTTCTAATTAATCAAATGAGACAAAAATTTTTTTTTTTTTGCAAGCAGCAGTACAATAATAAAAAGCTCGGTTTAAGAAACTGTACAGCAATGCTTCTCTCAATTTTTTTTTGCAATGCATAATTTATACATAATTTAGCTTCATGCTTCCAATTTATTGCATGCAAAATTGTGCCTGAGTGATAACTTATTGGCATATGTAGCTGCCTTATTGGTGGCTAGTTTTAAGGGATTTTAAGCAGCCGTGGCTCAATGTCTAGTGCGTGAGACGTAAGCTTGCTAATCCGACACATAGCCGAGTTTATGCTAATTCGAGGCTTATTTCGACTTTTTATTTCATTTGATGGAGCTGCTTCTTGGAGATCTCGCAAGTGTTTGCGAAGCGTAAATTCACCTCTGCGTAACGCCTGCTTATTGCAAGCGTAATCAACAATCAATTATCATAGTAACCACATTCATTAAAAAAATCGTCTAACCATGAATTTTGAAATGTACAATCGATCTATTTTACATACTATACACATTTACAATAAACTATATTACACATTACTTAAAGAACGCAAAAAATTCGAACATACAGAACAAATTAAGAGCAAACTGTCAATCCAGACATAAAGTTGAAAGCAAATATAAAATGTCCATTTCATGGTATGAGAACTTCCAGGCATGCATTCTTACTAAGAAATAGGGATCATTTTAGTTTCTCCCCGCCTCACAATCATTTTCAAACAGATTTTTAAACGAGTTAATTTTTAGTGTCAGGTAGGAGGACCAGAAATGTTTGGAATAACCTGGTGTATATTTTTTAACAATCAGACAATGTGAACAAGTTTAGCAAACAAAAATTTCGGTTCAACGAAAAAAAAAGTTTTTAAATACAAAAAAAAATATTTGCTCTTCTCTTAATCAATTCTGTCTGTTTGCATTTTTACGAGTTCTCTACTTTGAAAGTTCTGGTCTAAATGAAGCTGTAGTTTTCAGTGAGAACTTCTCCTTTGGCGTTTTTCATCACACTTCGCTTACGATTTCCCTTCTTATCGTAGGTCTCCTTCCTCGGGTACATCTTAACCTCCTTCCGGGCATCGTGAGTTTCGTCAGTCACTGCTATCACCTGCAAACAAATTGGGTCTTTTTTTCTGTTAACACCCGTTCGGTCAAAAGCAAATCGTTGGCTAATTGGTAGTGATTGTTTAATTTATGTTCTGGCGACATATTTTATTTCAATCAATCAGATTGGGACTTTTTTGTTTTGTGTTTTCATATTTTGCAATTTACGAATTTAGGCGGGAAAAGTAGAAAGACGCTACAATTTTTATAATTTTCAACTGACATAGAACGCCATGGTTGTTAACATCAATTAATCTACATTAAATGTTTTATTCTACATTAAGTTTATTATTTTCAAATAATTCCTTTCGAAATTTCACCGTCTAATTAATCTACAAAAATGAATCCAAGTCTAAGAAACTTTAAGATAATTAACTATCAACTCAAAGCCTCTAAAAGCTGGGACAAAGCTGTGGAATGAAATATTACTACGTAAAACCAACACTATTTCTTCTCACAACTACAAAATTCATTTCCTTTGAACTATACAACAAAATTTCGCATTTATAAAAATTTATCCACAGGAGAAGATCTAACGAATGCACAAGATAGCTAAGATGATTTTTAAAACTAGGGTCATAAGACACTCGATACATTGAAGTGATACACGTGATTTGAGGGGCTTTATACTTTTTGCGGGATTGCATTGCCGAATCCCCTTTGTGCATAAAAAGGAGCAGAAACTTCCACTCCCGGAGCATTTGCGCCTCCGAATGCTCCGACTACTGCCCCAAATGCAGCCATATGGTCTAACTCCATCTGATTTTGCCGCTGAGAGAAATATTAAAGCTAAAATTAGTCTCACTTTAGACGAAAGCAAAAACCTATCGCAATATGAAAAGATTACAAACCAAAAAAAAAGATTTATGTCATTGTGGTACCGTGTAGTACTGCTGCCACAGTAACCTCTGAGAATAGTGCTATTAATTATTCTGTTATGTATTGTTATTATTATTCAAGGCCGTTCATGCAGGCCAAACGCAATAGTCAGTTAGGACATTGCTGTTGAGAGAGAGACATGAAAAGACAGGCATGATCTCAGATCTAAAATAAGACAAGTTAGCAGTCTAAATTAAAACGTTTTACTTATTCTGTTTTACAAATACTTGAGTTAATCCAACAGCTATCACATGGCGCAGCCAGCAGGATTCCTGTCCCAAGACAACAGAACGGACATGGGGATTCCAGTATTTTGGACAACCGCGAACTCTGACCCTCCCTGGAATTTTAGGATATGGCTAGATCAATTTTTTTTGGCAGTGACCGTGAAGGAGAGCGTGGACCCGGAACTTTTGTTACAAGAACCAAAAGAAGTTCTGTTGGAACAGTTACCAAGACCCGAAACTCCAAGGGAAAACGAAAATGCACAGGCGATTGCCGATAGAGAAGCCAGAGATCAACTAGCTAGAGATAAAATTAACCTGGAAAATGAAGAAAGAAGAGCTAGAGGTCCCAAGGTTGGTCACAACGTATACTACAACGAGGTACAGAAAAGAGTCGCTTCCAGACTATTCCTGGCGTTGGGTACAGAAGGTAAGAAGAAATTCGTTCAAAAGAACCCCCATGTGGAAGTGTCAAAGTTAGAATTTCGAGAGATGGTGGCCTTGGCGAAAGTGTCATTTGACAAATCACAGAGTGTTACATATGAACGTTACAAACTATTCAATCGATCACAAGAAACTGGAGAAAAACTCGAGGCATTTCATGCAGCACTAACTGCACAAGCAGCAAAAGCTGAGCTAGGAACACTGGAGGATCAATTAGTGCGGGACCCATTCATCTCGAAAATGAAGAATGTGGTATTACAAGACACATTGACATTTGAAACATTTTCACCGGAAGAAGTACTGAAAAGAGCGTTAAAGTTTGAACAAAGCAAACAGACAACACAGGCGTTTCAGAAAACTAACGCAACAACTGCAAGTACAGTTCAGGTAAATGGGGCAGCGAAGATAAAACAAGAACCCATAATGAGTATCGGTAACAAAAATGCTAGCGGAAGAAGACAAGCAAACAGTGGGTATAGAAAGAAATTTGCAGACAGAAAGGAGGGGAGAAGTTTTGCAGATTCAAAGACGTGTACCCGATGTGGTCGAATATTCGGAGAAGGACATCTGAAGAAATGCCCGGCCATGGGTAAAACATGTAAGAATTGTTCTAAACCGAACCACTTCGCTAAAATGTGTAAATCACATTAAGTGAATGAGATTGCAGAAAATGAGAAGCTCAGATGAAGAGTGTAATCTGATTCAGTCATTCGAATCGTGTGAGGAATTCGAAATTATGTCGGTCGAATCAGAACTATCTTCGCTGGAAGAAATTGATGAATATATAAAACGGCAATCGAATAAAAACAAAGAAACCGACAAGCACAGAAAGGATGTACAGAAGGTTGACATCAGAAGAAATACTCGATCGAAACAAATAAGGTCACTAAAGGCTCTAGTGAGTATCGATCATCAGATCATAAATATGACCATCGATACGGGTAGTCCAGTATCTTTCTTGAACTGGGCGACTGCAATGATGATTCTAGAATCTTCGAAAAATACCAAGTTTATTCCACGGGAGAATCTCAATTTGACTACAAAATTTGTAGACTACAACAAGCAGCCGATTAACATACTGGGTGCAATCACCACGAACATCCGTTCGGCGGGGTGGGAAGTGGTGGGAGCATCGTTCTTAATCACAGAAAGACGCACACGGTGTATTTTAGGGCTGGATTTACAGAGCAAAGTGGGAATACACACAACACAGAAGTTGGCACCAAAAGAAAAGACGAGGTTTGATGTCTTACTGTGCGAACAGTCAGAAGGTTGGAAAAACAAATTTTACAGTAAATTTAAGAATCTTTTCGATCGTCAAGGGTGCTCAAAAAACCATGTGGTTAGCACAAAGTTCAAATACCCACTCTGCCCTTAACAAGAAAAGGGGAGACGCATTCCGATACACATACAAGAGAAAGTGTACGAGGAAATGGAAAAACTGTTAAAAGAAGGGCATATATAACGATTAGACAGATGCACTAGTGATTGTTTTATAGCACCTATTGTAATAACAGTGAAAAAAGATGATTCCATAAAGTTGGCGCTAGACGCCAAACCCATCAATAGACAATTGTTTTAAAACAAATATCAAATGCCAAATGTGGACGAATTGATAGACGGTGTTAGCCAAATTGTCACAGCGAACACAAACGGGAAACTGTATTTCTCAGTACTAGATTTGAAGTACGCGTACAGTCAACTAAAGTTGACTGCAGAGACAGCGAAACAATGCAATTTCAACATCATAGGTGGGCAAGCCACTGGTACATACAGATTCCTAACAGGATTTTATGGTTTGGCAGACATGCCAGCAGAGTTTCAAAAAGCTATGGACAGAACATTAAATCATGCGGAAAACACGTTCTGTTTTCTTGATGATATACTCATTGTATCAAAAGGGAGTGAACAAGAACATGAAGAATTGATTATGAATGTCCTAAAAAAGCTAGATAAAGAGAATTTGGCATTAAAACTGTCCAAATGTGAATTTTTTCAACAGGAGGTGAATTGGTTGGGGCATAAGTTATCGTCGGATGGAATCTCTCCTAAAATCACAAAAACAGAAGCGATACTAAAACTTAGCCCGCCAACATCACTGAAACAACTTAGATCATTTCTAGGTAGTATAAATCATCTGGCCAAGTTCATCCCAAATGCGGCTACGCTAACAGAAAAATTGAGACCACTATTACGCGAAGAAAATGAGAAAAAGAAACTCAAAAGTGTAAAAATTCAAGTAAAAAAATTCGAATGGAAAGAAGAACATTCGGAAATATTCGAGTCAATAAAAACAGCGGTTGCGAATATAACAAAAATTCATTATTATGACCCCAGTTTAGACACTAGGGTGAAATGTGATGCCAGTCACAGTGGGCTGGGCGCATCGCTAGAACAACAAAACGCTGAGGGGGAGTGGATACCAATCGCATTCGCTTCCAGGTACCTAAACACACAAGAAAAAAAATATTCCACAAATGAGCTTGAACTGCTTGCAGTTGTATGGTCGGTTGACCGATTTAAACACTATTTATTAGGTAAGGAATTCGTAATCGCTACAGATCACAAAGCGCTGGTCTCTGCTTTGGATGAAAATAAATCAAATAAAACGTACCAATCTAGATTAACTAGATGGGTAGACAGACTATTACCTTACCAATTTAAGGTTGTTCATTTACCAGGAAAAGATATGGGTATAGTAGATTATCTTTCTCGAAATCCAAAGGGGGAACCCTGGCCGGAGTCAGTATTGGATGAGAAATTCGTAGTTACATCAATCGAAAGTTTCCATAAAGCTCTCGACTGTTTAAACAGTCGATTAAATGATCGGGATAGGCTCGACTGGAACGAAAACGTTCTAGAATATTCTAGAATTGATCAAAATATGTCGATTAAGAACACGTCATCTACCAGTTGCTATAGCAACCAAAACGGTCCAAAATGGACAAAGCACGACCAGAACGAAAGAAATGAAGATTCGCGTTCGTTTCAACGAGAAAAGCGCGAAAATCCAAAAATCAGTATATCTCAAAATCGTCAGCGGATACAGTCGGTTCAGTCATTAGAAAAAACCAGAAAATTCTTAAATCAGAAATCAAGAAAAATGCACTCAGACGAATTGAAAAATAGCGGAAAAGAGAAAAAGATGGTCAGGATCCAGGAGAGAAATAACAACAATACCTTGAGAGAAGAAGTGACAACAACGTTTCACAGGACTAGGATGATACGACCACACATATCAGAATCAGAGGATTCGGACTTGGAACAAACAACACAGGCGAGGTGGTATTTGCCAAACACCCAAAGTGGACAATCAACGTCAACTGCTCAAACAGTCAGCCCAGGAAAAAGAGGACCATCGACCTCAACTGTTTCAACAGCTCAATCAAAAATAGTCTCATTCTGGGAACTGGTTGGCTCAGGAAGGAGTACAGAACCCCCATTTGCAGCAATGGAGTTACAGGCTATCTCGGGGATACAAAACCCGAAACCACCAGGTCTATCCACTTCCGGAGACGAAGCAGAAGTGGGACAAATCGTCGAAGTCGATTTAACTCTGGATAGTGACGACCGGGATTACAGTTCAGGAACGGAGACTTGTGTAATCACATCACAGAAAACAAGACACAATTCACGAAAATCTGAGTACAAACGGGGGGAACAGTTAATGGAGTCAGATAACCCACTTTCACTCGATAAATTATTTGACAAAAGTCTCCTCGCAGAACTAGTGTCAGAAGATACCTGGATGGACCGGCTAAGAAGAGTAGTGGAACGAAATGACAGACATGGTTTCGAGCTCATGGGACCCTACACAAATCCTCTGTGACACCAGATGTCGGTGGTAGACGATTGCCTTCTAGTAGACAATCGTTTGGCCGTGCCCGAAAGTTGAGACAAGCAGTGCTCCGACGACTTCATCAAGGTCATCCTGGACAGGAAGCAATGTTGGAGGTCTCAAACTACCTGTGGTGGCCGCATATGCATAAAGACATAGTCAATATGGCCGAAGAGTGTAGAAGCTGTACTCGTTATGGTAAGAACGCTAAATACTTAATTCCAAAAAATTCGGCTAAACCACTCCCACTGTTGTCACAGCCAGGTCAAGAACTACAATTAGATTATGCGGGCCCACTTGAAGATCATAAGGGGAAGAAGATATACTTATTAGTCGCTATCGATAGATACTCAAAATTTCCATCAGTCAAAGTAACGAAATCTACAGGGGGAAAATCAACAATAAAATTTCTCCGTACTAACATAGACACTCATGGAATACCGGAATCAATTAAAACGGACCAATTTTCGGGGTTCAAAGGGAAAGCTATGAAAAAATTTTGCACCGCAAATAACATCGCACAAAAATTCTGTCCAGTCGGGGATCACCGAGGATGCGGCTTAGTCGAACGAACGATACAAACCATTAAAAGAAGATTGGGGGTAATGCTACTCGACGAGAAAGTACAATCGATTAAATTATGTTTGAGTACAATAATTAGGGACCTAAGATGGAATAAACAGAAATCAATAAAAGTGTCCCCGTTCGAAGCACACTTTGGCCGATTACCGAAAACGGAATTTAAGATTGTAAGGGATAAATTTTTGATGGATTCTGATCGTTTAGATAAAGAACACTTGGAGAGATCGGCACTAACAGCATCACAGCTGAAAAGGCGAATAGATCAGTCGAGGGAGAATGTTAAAATCATTCGCAAAGGACGAAATAGCAGGGATGAAACCAGTAGGATAAATCCCGAACTGAGGAAAGAACTTCTATACTCATGGGAACGTGGATTCATTGAAGACAAACAAACCAAATCAAAGGAGGATTGGTCTGGAAGTTTCCTTCGGAAACACGAACAAAGGAAGAGCGGGAAGGCCCTGACAATACCCTTAAAATCCAAGATAGTATCAGCGACACCATCGACCATCAAAACGGCTGCGGGTGCAGTATATAGAAAAAGCGACATTGCACGATCTAAACTGTCAACACAGCCCAAAGCCTATAGTCCAGAGAAGAAAAGGAGCCCAACCGGAGAGGAACCGAGAAGTAAACAACAAAAAACAGGAACACTTCCAGTAGAGGAAGACAGCGATTCTGCCGAAGAACACGACGCGAAAGACCGGGGGCTGAGAGATGAAAATCTAGAAGATAGTAAGCTAAAAGAGAAGTTCCAAAACTCACCGAGCGTAGTCACATCAAGAGACACAAGAACCGGCGGAGGCCTAAGGAGGTAAACGGGGAAAACCGAACAGAGCAGGACCGATAGTCCAGAACACAAAACCGACAAGGGGCAAAACACAAGAATCAGGAACGACGAAAGCTGCCAAAACAGTTACTAAACAACGTGATACGAGTAACGAGGCAGTATACATACCGTCGTCGACACCAAAGGAAGCTCCTACTACCAAGAAGATCACACAACAGACAAGTTAAAAAGAAATTCTGGACACATTTCAAAACAATAACATGACATCTCAAGAATGGGAAGATGTAACAAATCAAGTGTTGACCCGCGGAGTCCAAAAAGAAGCCGAGAAACTAATGTCACGACAAATGGACCCAGTGGATTATTCCACACCAGGATTTGCGGACGAATCCGATAAGGAGGAAGACACCACGACAGTCAGACGGAGTAATAGACAAACTAAAAACCAGGGACCGAAGAGGTATGGCAGTCCCGTATCACACTCGATAAAACTGATTGGTTGTGAGGATGATGTCACCGAGTTGAACCTGGCAGCACTTGAGGCCTACAGATTGCGACTAGCGAAGTTGAACATAAACAACAAGGAAACGTCGGAAACCAACACGTTGCTACGTCACTGGACGAGGCGGGATCATGGAACGCCGCAAGAAACAAAGAAGAAGTATTAAAGAAAATAACAAAAGACTAAGGAAAAGGAGAACAATTTTCTGTAAACTTTGAACAACTCGTATTATTTATAAAATTTCATTAAGTATTATATAAAATTTTGTTGTCGTCAGGGGAATGTGGTACCGTGTAGTACTGCTGCCACAGTAACCTCTGAGAATAGTGCTATTAATTATTCTGTTATGTATTGTTATTATTATTCAAGGCCGTTCATGCAGGCCAAACGCAATAGTCAGTTAGGACATTGCTGTTGAGAGAGAGACATGAAAAGACAGGCATGATCTCATATCTAAAATAAGACAAGTTAGCAGTCTAAATTAAAACGTTTTACTTATTCTGTTTTACAAATACTTGAGTTAATCCAACAGTTATCACAGTCATTAAGCATTTATGCCTGATCAATATAAAATTTAAAAATAAATCAGTTCAATTATCATCAAAAAATGCCGCTTTAATACTGTTCAAACCAAGGTGTAGAATAATGATGACTAGAAAGATGAAAAGTGTTTCTCGATCGCAACAATTGTGATGAGTTTTTCCCAACCTAGATGCTTTTTATTGTTAACGAAAGTGGTATTACAATAGCAAGCGCTGAAATTTAATCAACTTACAGATTCAACTCTACCATTGGCCTTCTTCTAAATAGCCGCAATTCAGTCATGTAAATCACATTGGAATCAAGTAACCAACCAACAATGCAGACAGAAAATCTGACGAAGTGGCAATTTTCCATCATCTTTTTCCGATTTCGCCGGAACAAAATAATACTTTATAAGTAAAGTATTTGATAAATACTTTATAAATTAATACTAATACCAATATCAATCCGCCGAAACACAAATCATTTTTTAACCCCCGTTAGTACACAATGAAAGACCAACGGTTGGGGAGGGGATGTCATCAATTTTACCACAGCCGGTCCCGCCTAGAGGAGGCGCTTTATGTTGAGAGACGCGTGCCTTACCAACTCGGTCGCGACCTCTTAAGTGTAAATCATACAGCAATATAACAGAAATGTTGATGCAAACCGAGGAATTATTTTCGTAGCTACACTGCAATGCAAAACAACAAACCAGCAAAACGTAGCTCTAAAAAGAACCGAAACAACGACCTGTGCAGATGGAGTCTCAGGTCCTCGCATCTGTTTGTCAAACACTAGTCACCATTAAAGCAATATTTACCAGCTAAAAAGACACCAACTGAGCACCTTTATTTGCGAATTGGGATAAAAAAACTGGGTTCGAAATATAACACTACGCTCGATAGCTCGCTCCTGTGAAAATTTAGCCAGTAGCTGTACAAAAAGGGCAGAACTATTCGACCACCATGATTTAAGTACGGAAATTTAAAAAAAAAATAAATAAATAAAAAAAATCTTTATGTTTTTAAACTTCGTTTTTCTTTTTTAAGATGCTTGCAGATTCTTTTAGTAAAGTGCGACTAAAGTAGGTGATAATCTGCAAACACAGAAGACACAAAACGTAAAAATGAAACAGAAGTAATTTGAGTGTTACCAAATTGAGTTGTCAATTTCACAAAACGAGACATTTTTTTGAATGTTATTGGGATCTTAAATCACGGATGCAAGGCTGTTAATATGCCACAACACTTGAAACCCAATAAGCTTTCTTTGAGGTAGATTGAACAAAACACACCCTACTCCCTAGTTCCGTGTAGAGTCGATACTGAAAATCAAAACGATAATGAAATCAAAATCTGAATGCATAGCTGGAAGAGTTTCACTCAACGCAATCAGACCGGAGAAAAGATATCTGAAGTTTGGCGGTTCGATTCTGGCGCACAACTTCGATGATCTTAAAAACGTGCGAAATTTTATCTCCTTTGAAGGCTCCTGGATTTTTTTTATGATTAAGGTTTTTTTGAGACTAAAATTTTTGTGGCTCCAGCTTAAATTTAACGCCTTGCATGCGCTACTTATTAGTAAAAAAAGAACTAGCAAATTTAGTCATATAGTACCAAATCACTCAAGCAAACATGAAAATCAGACAAGCTTCGAGTATTTTATGCGCGACTAAATTCTCAGTTTCGAATCATTAACCATGAGCAGCCTCAGCGATCGTCACGAGATCTTCTGGTCTTTTTTCAGATGAATCTCACTAATTAATTGCCACCCCTATAAAGAAATCAATGGTTAAGCATATGCGAAATTTGTACCTAGTAACGAATATCCCCCTCCATTTTCATAAGGGGGATAGTTAAATAGATCCCTTGTAGAGTTCTTTACCTTTGGCTTGGGCAGCAGAATGTCTGTTAGTTGTGCCCCTGGTACCCTGTCCTCCCCCTTCACATCTGTGGTGGGGGTGGGGCTGTCCACTCTCCCGTCATACTCCCCCCGGTTGCCCCGATCCTTGTCTGTTCTCTCTGCAACACCAACACAACTAGCATATCAAACCATCCAAAAACCAATGGTAGGTCAGCAAATCGACGTATCAGTAAGCCGAAAACGGATGGACAAAATCATAAATCATAATCTTGCAATTATTGCGTCATTCAATTATACACAGAGGCGAAGCGCAGCTTCGCATCACTTGCGATACAATGCAAGCTCGCATTTCAAGAAAAAGAGACGGAAATCACCAAATAAAAAATAATTGGGAAAAAATGCGAAGTCAAAAAACACAACCAAAAGTATTAAATAAGCTTTCATTATTTACCGGGCAAACACTAGCCGACAACAAGTAGGTAGTCGCCCATTGAACCGAAAACAACAAATGACCTACAAAACTGTTCTCTTAAAAAGTTTTTGGGCAATTAAGTTTTAAAACTATGAAATCTTGCAACACAAACAAACTGATTAATCCAAAAAAAACATATTTTGCCTTTGAAGGGACACAAAATAAGGTAACTGAGTCGACAAAACATTAGCCGAATCCAGTGAGGTCGGCTAAAATTAAAGAAAATGTACTGTGCCAGGGCTATTAATATAACAAAATACAGGAGTAAATCAAAAAACGTTGCATTTACGAAAATTCCTGACAGCACAATTAAATTTTCGGATGTTGCAACTAAGCCGACAAAAGAAGCAGACCAATTCAAAAAAAAACAATTCAATTTTTCCCTAAAAATTTTTCAATTTCATACATACAGAAAAAAAAGGTTCGGCCGGGACTCGCGCCCCTGACCTAAGGGTACAAAGGCAACCATGTTACCTGTAGGCCAAGGGAGAACAAACATGAAACGTTTTATGATTGATTAAAAAAGCAAGAAAAGCAAGTAATATTTTTCAGAAAAGTTGTTTATGGAAAAAATCTAGTTCCCTGTTACGAGACACTGCAAGTATTATAATCACGAATTGAAGCCTCAGATTCGTTAAAAAAGCGTATTTCTTTCACTAAGTAAAATTTTAACAAAAATGACCCTTTTTCTGGCAAATTTAAAATTATTATCGTACCTCAGGAAAGATCAATTCTCTAAATAATGTTTCCAGTTTTTTGTAAAAAAAATTCTTCCATAGCAATCAATGCAACTTCATGTTACATTAAACTACCTAGAGACCAAATACCAATTGCTTCACTCACTGAGAGTACACATGAGCACTAGGACTCATTTAGGCAAAACATAGAATCGCTGTTTTCTTCAGGTTTTCAAAACAGAACAACAGGCTTCGAAAAATAATAGATTTAGCAAAAGAATAACAAGACAATTAGGAAAACATAAGATCAAACAGATTCGAATAACCTTAAGAAGAATTATTCGCGCCTCAAGTTCATTTTAAGATAGAGATCTCGCTCCTCATGACTTGCATCTAGAGGCGGATCGCAGACTATCTCGAGGGTATGAGCAAGCAGAAGTTCTGAACACTATGCGCCGCAGGGAACTTGGGCAAAATAGAGCCAGAAACACCGTTTTGATCACTTTACGGAAAATCTTCATCAAAACTCAGAGGATTTCATCAAAATTCTGGGGCGGAGATAGTCAAATTACTGAGATCGGGAGCATCCATCTCTTCCTAAAGCCGCCCTGCTTCGATCTATTATTACCAATGCCTTGGACACTAGGATGCTTCGTCGGCGGACTACATGATATGTAATGTGGTGCTAGGGTAAATAAGACGACACGAATTTAAGACAACACAACAAAGTAAGACGACAAGTGAGAGTTAATATATTTAAAATGAACTAATCGAATTTAAGCGGTATACATTTCTCAAAAATACAATTGGAGAATTGCGTGTAGCGTCGTCTTAAAGTCCCATCAAAAACGGTTGTCGTCTTAACAACTGTCGTTTTATTTGCCGGACACCATGTGATGTGATGATATAGCAAATAGCTGGCTAAGTATTTCGTTACCCTGATTGAGTTGGCCAACATATTCTAGGAGCATGTTAAAACATTAGACAAAATGCAGCAACCGTCACTGTGTTCATTTATTACAGAACTCGCTAAACAGTACTAACCAGCAAAGAGGCTTTAAAACATTGAATGAAACTATGCAATATTTACACTCAAACATTGAATGAATTGAAGAGATGGGATAAATAAATATCTTAACAACAATACATGAAAATGACAATCAAAAAAACTAACAAAACATTTATATTTTAGGGGCCTCCCAAATTTGATTTGATCTGCTGTTTTCAAAATTGACACAAGGCCTATTACCCAAAATTATTGTAAATTAACATTGGAACGGTGCTAAAATAAAGATTGAGATACCTTCAATAATACGGAACTACTAGGATTTGATCCCATGACCTATAGTCGAAAAAACTTCTGAACAAAACTTGCCTTTGTTTGCCAGTCGTACGCATTCGTCCTTGTGTCGTGTATTCCACGCTTTCAGTTTGCACGCTTTTCCACAGTAGAATACCTCTTTGCATCTCGTACATGGGACCAATTTCACACCACTGCTTCGTCCACATTCGTAGCAATACTTGAAGAGAGGCTTCCTGTGAAAAAAAAAAGAAACTTTCCAGCAACAAAAAAATCACATGATACTTTCGGAATTTTCTGAAAGCTTATAACTACATAACTTAAAGCTGATTCAACCTATGGATAATTTTATGACTTACCCAGAGGCGAAACTGCATTTCGCATGGAAAAATATAAATGATAATTATTTAAACGAATAGAACCACAACTATAAACAAACGGTTCGATCTGCAAAATCGTAGGCAAAAGCATTATTCTTTATACCATTTCAACACTACTTCACAATTCATTCGTTTTAACACAAGCAAAATTGCTTTGGTCAAACGCTGCACTTAATTCACAACAAATAAGACTCCAACCGGATTCGATCTCTAGACCTTATAACTGTAAAGAGACTGACCGTATGCGTAGTTTGCCGTCCCTGAGTATCTTCTGCACTTCGTCCTTGGTCATCATCCTCTCAGTCGCATCAACAGTAACTATATTGTCCTTGATACTCATGATCCTTAAAACGGATAAAATCAAACAAACTTCAACGACAATTTCGTTCTTTTAACTGAAAGATTAAAAATTAGAGTGTCTAGAAGGATTCAAGTTTCTAGAATTTTCACGTGGTAACATTTTTGCGGCCGTCATCGGTCAGGCTGTGGCGGAACTGAAGCGAGAGGTCAAGTGAGAGCTCGTCCTCGCACACTATCAGTGCCATGGCAAGGCATCAATTACATGATCTCGAAGTGAACGCCTTACGACTACTACGCTAAATGCTCCTAAAGATTTGTACTTCCAAAATCATAGAGTTCCGTACTCATTACTTTAGACAACACAAAAGATGGGGTTTTTACTTGGTTAATATTGATCAGTAAAAAATTAGGGTATGGATCAACTAACCCGAACATCGTCAAAACAAAACTTGACCCTAAAGCCATATGAGAATATTTTCATCTATATGCCCAAAATCGATTAGAAATTAGTCACTTTTGGACGCCCAAAAAGGTCCGCTGATAGTTGCTAATCGAAAGGCAGCTAACTGGCATTTTTTCTGCTCTTACCAAATGAGAGTTTTTTTGATATACTTTGTAAATTATACACAAAATGTTCCCTTCATGAAAATTAATTTATTTATGATTTTCAGCCGATATTCCGCATGTGTAAATAGGATAATTATTGCGACTGACCTGATGACCTCTGCAGAAGTGGCTCTGTTGGGCTTCACAATTCCCAGGGGAGTGTTGGCCCCATAGCCAGAGTGGAAGAACTTCTCACTTGGGGACACACCTGAAAATTAATAAACTGAAAAAAAATGCATGGAATGTGACTCGAAGCATTGACTGGAATTTCTTGAAAAATAGCTTCACCGTAACAACTCTTTCGTGAAAAAAACACCTCACGTCTGCGTTGAAGTATCGGAATAACGTCTTAAAATTTGTATCACTCCAGTATCTTCCAGCAATAAATTGTGTTGCAAAGTCAAATATGTTCAGATAGATCTGATTTTCTAGGGAAACCAAGTGCCTTATTTGCACTTGGTTCCAGAAAGATATTTTAAGTCCACAAATCGAGGGCTATTCTTCTAATGGTGGACGCGACTCCTAATTTGTCAGTCTGCAAATGACGTCAAGTGAACACTCCCATTCGTCGAAAAAAGGCTCAGAAATCTCCAAGGCTTTTAATGTCGGAACGTTTGATTATCATCGCAGTATGCCCAAAGAACCGAACTCAAACACACCCTCCCCCCCGCCCTCATACACACCATAAGTCAACTGCCACATCAAAGCAAACTAGAGCCCCCATAATGGTAAAAACTCAGTAAGTGGGAGCTATAACTGGTTTGTTACTAGACTGGGAAGGAGCTATAATGGTTAAGAGCCGTAAATTTGTCTCATACTCACTTCTGTCATCGTCGTGTTCCTCCCTGACCAGTCGCTCGTACTCTTTCCTCACAACTGTTCTCCTCAGGAGATTGCCCAGGTGAGTCAACAGATCCCTTCTGGCGTTGAATGTCTCCCTCTCCACTGGCGACAGGGCGTGGTAGGGCAAGAAGGCCACTCTCTTGTCCTGAAGCACATAAATATACGATAAAATATAGAACAGCCAAAAGCAGTCGCGCGGTTTATTGACACACAAATTTCCACTTTTTTGGGTTTCCGGTTGGTTGGCACACTTTTTGGTTTTGAGTTTATTGCTACATCGGCTTATTACACAAGCACTCATTAGCTGATTTCATTATAATTGAGCACAAAAAAAGACTTGCTTGGGAATTAAATTGGCTAGTCCTGGTCAATGTTCGCTATTAAGAACAAGGGTTCAAATGTTAGCACAGAGAAAAAACTTAAAGCTGATAAATTATAATATCAAAGAAGACGCCAATGTCAAAGAGTTCTTTAAACCCAACTACAAGCTCATCCAACTACCATTTCACCCGATTTTAATACCGGACAACCTAGTAATTCAATTAAATTACGTCTCCAATCATTGCATCGTAAATTTCAACCTAGCTACTCCAAATAAAGCCAGAGCAGTTCATTTGCAACACTTAACATTCAGAGTCATGATTAAAACTGACACTTGCCAAGTAGTATTTGTGATAGGCGTAGTCGACTGCAGTTCCGATTGAGCCCTGCTTTCCGGAGGCGGAGGATCCGAACACGATCGGACTCAGGATGTTCGCACCCGCAGACATCAGTTTGTCCACCTTAAATACATAACAAATAGTTTGGATCAGTTCAGTCATCATTTACTGCAGGAACTACTGCATTTTGCAGAAGTGGAACCTGATCTAAACTATATTTTATGATTGGATAAATTAAATGTTTTACCAATGTAAAGTATTTAATATTAACCAATCATGATCCATCTAACTAACAACCCACTTATTTGTAAGTGCTGAAGTTACTTGTAATTTCAGCACCAGAGAGATTTGAATTTAACTTAGAAATTAGTTGGACTCTCCCGAGCACTTCAGCAGCCGCAATAAACCAGTATACCCTAGATCTATTGAGCCTAGCAGAGACTAGTTAAACAACCTGAGACTAGATAGTATAAGAGTAAGATTAGGATCGGTATTAGACTAAGAAGTTGCACGAATCTATCCGGCCGAAAATAAGATAGCGTGACGAGCAGACGGTGTACCCTATCCGAAATTACTCTATGAGTTATACACCCCAGTCCTAACTCATCTGGTGCGACCATAAGTCTCGAACAAGACCTTACTAGATTAGAATTAACCAAAATTAGATTAGAAATTAGACAAAAACATTTACAAAATGTTATACGACAATAATTTAATTGAAATGTCTCTCCGACTCAATAGATCAGAGCCAATATTCCGAACCATAATAGAACTACCCGGAATTGGAAGAAGACATCGAACCAAAGACGACATACGACAAAGTAGAAACTTGCCGTATAGTTATATGATAGTTCGGCAAAAGCCAGAACAAACTTTTATATTTCGAATACTACTTGCAATGAATTTAGATTTCCATTTGCAAACATAAAACCTTGAAGTAAATCTTCAAAATCATTTCAGGCGCTAAACAAATTAATATTATACAATAACGATTGATAAAAAGATCTAAGATCGTTTTCCTAAAATTCTGCAGTATTATACAAAACATGTTTGAAGAATATTTATTGGAAAATAAAAATAAAAATTAGTAGCATGACAATAAATGGTTAGTAATCATAAATCATCCTGTTGTTCCAGCTTCATCACCTAAAACATAACAGCAATCATAAACCTACTAATATCATCAAAACACTAAATCTTTCCTTTACACAAATTTAAAACTTTATTAAAATTTAAAGTCACTTAATTTAAAATCAGATCATCAAGGCTTATCCTTGGATCTTAAATCATTTTCTACTTAATTAAATTTTAAATTTGATCATCAAGGCTTATCCTTGGATCAAACAGAACAACTTTGTTCTCCCCCACCCACTTAATTAGTGTCTAACGACCTCAAACGTCGATTCACTACCCAACCCTTTCTAAAAACCCAAGACTAATAGAAATTTTTAAACAAAACTAATCATTCAAATTAGGATAAACAGTGAAGAACTTCGGTTATTCATCCTTCACTTGACCCCTCCTCTTACCAGACCCAGGATAAATCTTAGACTTAGTAAGTTTAAAATAGTATCTAACGAACTACTCGCGTTCTAATTATACCTGAACCTTGTGGATCGATTTACTATTCTCCAACCCTTGAACACAATCACTACCCCTAAGTAAGATTAAGTAAGTTAACACCTTAGCTTATACTAGTCACGAGAAAGTAAAAATCATTCTTCGGAATCGATATACTTTTCTCTCCAACCCTGAACAACTAGACCCAGGTTAAGCTAACCAAAAAATCGTAAGAACTAACAGTTTAAGTCAATAGAAATCATTTAACAACCTTTTGCATCCGTCATTCTAAACCTTATGTCATTTAAAAACCTAGGAAATAAACAAACAATCATTTTACACAATTGTGAAATAGATAACAAAAAATACGACCTTGTAATCACACCTCATACACAAACAATTGGATACATTCGAACAAAACGACAAACACTAAAGAGAAAAATAATAACTAAACAAAGACAAATAACACGAAAAAGATTTTCAAAAAATCGAAACGCATTTTCAGAATCAGAAACCAACAGTTTAGACGAACTTTACAAACTAAAAGAATCAATAGATAAAAATTGCCCACAACACGATCAATTATATTTTTCTGACTCAGAAACAACTTCAAATTCATCACAAAGAGGAAAAAGAAGAATAAAAAAGCAGTATAAACACAAACCAGTACATCTATACAATTGGAATCAACCAATTCGACACATTAATAATTACATATTAACAGTCATCGAACGAAAAAATGAGTTCAACGCACACCCCAGGTGACGAAACTCCAGATGATGATGAAATCTTTCCTTTTATAGTAGATGCAGATACTGATAGAGGACAACACATATTTTGTCAAAATTTACTCGTAAATTTATTTGAACCCGGAATCAGTCCATGTAAAACAGAGTTCCCCGATGTAAAAATCAAAAGACAAATCATAGATCACTATCTAAAAGATATATGCAACATAACACAACAGTATGGAATCTACTCTATAGAATTCACTTCCCCAAACCATAATAATAGAACATATACTATTCAAACAGACGACCTTGATTTAGAATTTTCAAAAGTTTTTTCAGAATATATAAAAAGCATCCAATACCATAACTCACAAAGAGCAAACTCCATTTTCACCAATGAAGTTTTCGCACTAATATATAGTTATATTTCGATATTAGAAAATGAACTCCCATTAACAAATGTCTCACCGACAGAAACATCTAAACATTTAAGAGTACGACATGAAATCACACTACTCTCTAGTTATTTAAACATCATTAAAGAAAATTTCACGAAAGACGACGTTTCACAACATACCAAACACGATTTACAAAAAATTTTAGCATGGTTCATAATAGATTATTTTACACACAATATTGATTTAATTGCACAAGCAAGAAAAAATTTTAGACCCCAAAATTCGAACGATGATACCGCTATCACAGAACAATCAGATTATGTTTGGGACCCCGAATGGTCTCATCCCGCATTTATAAACTTTCCACAATCAATCTCAAGTCAAGCAATAGGTACAATATCTTACATAAGAGATTATGTAAGAGTAATACCATTAACAATTGATGCAACACCATTAAACTATAATACATTTTTACCCGATACACAAAATAATAGTTTAAACTCTACAGTCATACACAATGAAAACCTCAATGGAACTAGGAATCTTACTCAACAAGATATCCAGACACCATCACACTTCATAAATGAAGAAATTGTACACACAACAACTACACAACAAAGTATTTCACCAATACGCCCAAATTTAACAACACCAAGAAATACAAATCCTTCACAAACACAGGTAACCTTACAATCAACCGTTAAACCTTCGGTTGCCCCTAAATATTCACATATGGATTACCAAACATACAAACCCATGACAATACCATCAAAAACACGCAAAACATTCACTAGAAACAACTTTGCAGACCATAATTATAATTATACACATCCATCAAAAACAAATTATCAACCACAAAGAAATTTTAATCAATATACAAAACCTCGAAACTGGGATAACCCAACGGCCCAATATAATTCCACAAATTTTCAACCAAATCCTCCACAGGATCGCAGTGGAAATTACCCATTTTTTCAACAAAATAAAAATAAAAAACAAACATCTTATCAAATGGATTATTTATCCTCAGATGAAGATTTCTTACAACCAGATATATTTGCACCAAATACTCAAGAATATCGTAGACAAGGAATACAGAAAACACGTACAAATCATAGAAATTTTTCTCCACAATCAATAGATGCACAATATCAACAACCAATTCAACAACAAAATCCAATTAATACACAATCTTTTCAACCAATTCAACAACAAAATCCAATGACTACACACTCGTATCAACCATCACAAATGCAAAATGAAATACCACTCCCGTATTATCTTCAACAACATGAAATAACAAGAAACCAACTTTCAAATTTTTCTCAAATGCCAAATGCAGCTGAATCATTACAAATGACAATGAATCCATACCTTATGGGTGGATCATCAATAACATCAAATAAACCTTTAATGGTTTTCACAGGAACAGACCCTGAATACTCTGTAGAAGATTATTTAAACGCAGTAACAGCAAATTTAATTTTAAATATAGGACCTGAACCAATTAATACGCCACTACATCAAAACTGGATACATCGACGCACAGCGTTGATACAAACAACCTTAGATGGCGCAGCCCAAAAATGGTTTTCAGTACTACCTCAAGAAATAAAATCAAACTGGAAAAGATTTACACAAGAATTTTCAAAAATGTTTGACTCCGAAAGAAACAAACAACAACAAAGAGTTTTATGTAATGAAATTCGCAGATTACCAAACGAAACCATCAAGCAAATAGCAGTAAGAATCGAAACACTAGTTCGAAAAGCATATTCACTAAATACACACGACTATAAAAACACTAAGATGACAGAAATCTTAATGATGACCTTAACACCACAATTAAGGAAAATAGCAATAAAAAAGAGAGCATCCCATCCTTCTTCAATTCGAGAACCCGATTTAGATTTTAGAAAACTAGTAGACAAACTAGAACAAGCAGAAATCACGATGAAACTAGAAGAAACGGAGAATTTGAAATTACAATACGTTAACAAAATTGAAACGACTCCCACTAATATTAATAATATACAAGAATCAGAAACAGATCTCGTTGAAAAAATCACTGAAATACTCAATATTTACGAAAAGAACCCGAACTTTAAAGGCAAACCATCTTTCAAGAAATGGTGTAATTATTGCCGACGATACGGACATAGTATTTCCGAATGTAGACAAAAACAGCAAGATAGTCAAAATAAACCTCAAAAATACAAAGAACCAAATAAATCATTTTATCAATACATGAAAAAAGATCAAAATCTACCAAACAAAAATGTATACAGCAACAACAGTTCAGGAAAACCACTCCCGAACAATACAAGCTATACAAGAAATCAATCTCCATATAACTCAAGTTATAGAGGAAGATCACCAGAACGAAGAAACACGTATAATTCATCACAAAATCACTACAATAGACCGAATAGTC